GAGATGGCTTGATAAGCGCCTGAAGAGCTGATTGCACGCAGCCCGAGAAAGAACAGAACCTGTAGGTTATCTTACGTGACTTGTAAGTAAGCGAAGTTGGTAGCGGAGCAGGTGAAAGACTACTATTGACTGGCAAAACCTCCACCCACCGAGGACTACATCTAAAATTATGGAGACAATGTGATAAAATGTAATAATGAAAATGACAGGTTGAGGGAAGATAGAGCAAATATATATGAGAGAAAATGGCATACCTAAGGGCGGATTTTGTAACTTGTATTCTCAGAAGATAGAAAAGATTTTTTTCATCCTCACAGTGGACGTAGCTCTTGAACAAAATAGTGAACCACTATAAATCTTGGTGTTCTTTCTTCTTGATTATCTTTAAGACAATCGTCTCAAAACAAAATTAAGCCGTTAAAATCACGTTAACCACTTCTAAATTCGAATAAATCCAGTTGACGAATTTTCACCGTCAACAATAATCTTCCAATAGACAATACTTTAAAGAAATTCTGTGTAGCAATCAAAGTATATTAACCAACACAAACTAAAACAATCAACAAACATGGGTTGGTCGCGGCGTCGGTGCGATCTGATAAGCCAAGAAAATCTCAGAGAACGCCCATGAGAAATCTAAAATATTTTGATTAAGTGCCATTGGGCATGGGCCGTGCAAGTAATCAAGGATGGGCTAGGAACAATGGGCCAGGCAAGGAGTGAAGAAGTCTTCTTTCGGAGGACATGGTCTAAGTTGTGGAATCATGTTACCAGCTTGCTGAAGAATAGATCAATAAGTTATTATTTCCATTAGAATAGGTCAAGAAGATGTTATTTCCATTCTTAAATAAGTGTCGCTACTCTGTTGCTATTAGCCATTAGTGTCCGTATTCTTAGAAACATGATCTGAGAATTAGGAAAAGTTGTTATTTCCCCTTGTATTTAAACTCTTTTCAAGGCAATAAGAAAGCAAGCTTATTCAGACTAAATTCTGTGGTTTTTCTCACCCTAAGTAGAATTCTATTTTCACATAATCCTATTAGCTTTGACTGGGACCTATCATTGGTATCGGAGCTACTTTACGATGGCCACCAACAAAGAGCGGATAGAAAACTTAAAAGCTGGGCTCGGAGGACTCCAAGATAACTTGAGCCGAAGAGAGCTTGGCATTGCTGACAAGCTAAATCAAATGGAGGACACCATCCACAAACTATCTGAAGCATTGCTCTCAAACAACGAAGCCTCAAACAGCAACCGCAACGATCGTAACGGGCGCTTCCACCCTAATAGAGAAGAACCCCGAGAGCATTCTGAAGGAGGGCGCCCAATGTTCTCGTCCAAGTTGGCTAAATTGGACTTTCCCAGATTTTCAGGAGATGATCCCATTGAATGGTTCACAAGAGTGGATCAATTCTTTGAATACCAAAGCACTACCGAAACACAGAAGGTGTCGTTGGCTTCTTTCCATCTTGAAGGAGAAGCTAATCAATGGTGGCAATGGTTGCGAAGAGCCTATAGAGAAGAAGACAAGGAAGTACAAGACCAATACCACGCTTAAAAGCATACTTAGCATACCGTTCACTCTCCAAGACTTGTGAGTAAATCTCTTCTTTCTCATCAGAATCAAGTTGCGAGCACTCTGGCATTTGACTTAATCGTTCATCTCGTGCCGCTTTCATACGAAATATGAAATAAAATGAAACGATGAAGATTGAATTATTCTTACGTAATCTTCCTCCGCGAGGCTACTTTCCCATCCCTTTTTTTCTGTCCAATGAGTGTTTTTGAAGAGCTCACAGTATCCATCAGAAGTCGAGTCCGAGTTCGTGCAAGTATTTGGTTGCTACATAAACATAGTATTTATCTATGAATCTACACAAGTTTTGGAGTAGAAAGACAATTTTCTTAGAGAGATAATACCTGAATGTCTTCCAAATATTGAACAAAAGACTTTGTCCCACCCACATGTGTATGCTGGTTTTTGGCAAAATTTTGAGATGCAGTCGCCGATTTCTTCTATAAACTAGAAGTAGATATGTTAAAAATGAATAGAATCACTGCACTATTTAAATTTGTAAACAAGTTTCGGCAGCATCTCCCCTATAATTTCAAGTAACCGAATAAATACATAACAGAATAACGTGTAAATAGAACTTAGATGTGCATTCTTTTTTCAAGCCATAAAGCATCAATAGACATATATAGTATTAATATGATCGGAAAATCATACTGAAGAAAAGTAGAGACTGCTAATTGAACTTCGTAGATATGCATATATGTATATACAATGTATTGGAAAAAATAAAAATAAAAAATGGTTTCGCAAGTTCTTGAGTGGCTTTCAACCTTTACAAATCTAACCATGTGATTCGAACCATTTTCGATTTACGTGAATTTTTTGTGAGAGAAAATACTGTAGCGAACCATGAATCATGATTCGAATCAGAGAACGAATCCCTCTACCAAACAGAGCCTTAAGTCGGATTAGAAAGAAAGTGATGTTTACTATAGACATGTGCTTGTCATTTCAAAGTTTCAAATTAAATGTTAATTTATAGTGATTTATGTTATGGACCTTAATGATAATGTTGTCTAATTTCGCGGCTTTAGCCAGCTTTTTGTTTTTAATTTTTCAAAGTTGCCTTCAGCTAAATTTTTAATAGAACTTGTGGGGCGGGCGTAAGTGATTGATTTATGTTTGTACTCAGAAAAAGAGTAATACTTTTTGTAATTGGAAAAGAGTGGTGAATTTTTTAGCGTATAAGGAAACTAATACCTTATTCTAATAAAACATATGAACTAATATAATACGTTATACATATTTTCCAAAAATAAAAAAATCTACTTTATACATAAAATTTAGTTGTGATCAGTTTTACAGAATTAAACTAAGATCTAGGTGATAGATTTGTTTTTGTTTAGAAAAAAGTTAATTAACATTTTAATATTTTGAGGTGTAAAAGTAATTATAGTTGAAGCTTCTAACAAAGGAATTAACCTCTGGCCTCTGATACAAATAAATAAAGATATAGAACAGCAGCAGCATAATCAAAATGGAAACGACGACATAGAGTAGTTTTTGTACATATAAAACAAGTAGATGTTAACAGATTTTAAACTTTGAAGAAATATGGTACTAGTTTTTTATTGATGAGAACGTAAAATATATATACTTGTATAAGGAATTTGAATTTGAATTCAATACTTATTTAATTAATATCTAAATAATTGGGATAAACTAACTTAAACAGTAATAAGATAAATACACTAATTTAATATCTTAATTTGAATCTAATACTAATCTAATCTAAAAACTAGGCATAAGGTAAATTAAATAATTATACGATAAAGTACAAACTATTTAAATTAAATAATTTAATCATCCTTATTTGATGTTAGTTGAAAGAGAATTCTCCGTTAGAACTCTATGATGGGCAAGGTCATATAGGATTATGGAATAACAAGTACTTAAATTGTCTTTCTATAATCACACATGATTTTCTTACCAAAAAAGAAAGAAATAAATAAAACACACACTTGATTTTATAAGGAAAAGATTAAAATGAGAACAAAGAATAAATGATAAAGGCCTGCATCAATACTAGTACTTGTATTGAGATTTGAATATAATATGAGTGAAGTTTTTATGTAAAGTTCATTTACTTATTTAATGTTTATCAGATTCTAAAACATTATAAATAAATGTTGTCTTAAAATAAATCTTCATTTTCTTATCGTTGTTTCTATTCATATCCATATTTTTTTCCCGAAATTTCATTAAAATTTAGAGTATTGATAGTTTCAATGATATCAAAATTTTGTTGGCTCATAATAAATAAAAAATGAAAGATTGAATAACTTTGTAACTTCTCATGCCATAATTCGAGTAATCAAAGGCAGTTTGAAATTATTACATGAATCAAATTGATGGATCATTCACATATATGCATAAAAAAAAGAAAAAAAAAAATAAACAAATAAACTACTAGCTTCTAACTCAATCGTTGAGAAAAACTACGCACTAACTTTCATATACTCCTCTAAAATAGATGCACATTCTTTTTCTTTGTTCTTTAACCGATGAATTATATTAAGCAAGGTTTTTGATGGCTTTTCGCGTAACATTGCTATCGTATTCGAGCCACATACGCCGTATATTTGTTCAATGCATCTTCGATTTATAGGAGATAGGTATTTATCGATAGATTCTTGAATATCCAACTCATCATATTTTGATATTTAGAGCTTAGCCAACAACTCCTTTGCCTTCTCAGCAGTTAATTTCATACGTTCGTAAAAAAACCTCCATTTCATATCTATCATTCTCTAAACGATTTAGTACTTTTTCTGAGTCACTTTGTTCAATATGTTTAGAGGTAAATTTGGCAGTTATCATAACGCACTGCACGTTCAACACATCCCTACAAATCTCGGCCATCAATTTGTCCTCTTCCTTCTCACTTGATTGATCCTCATCAGATTCGGCCTCACTTGTTTGATCCTTCAATCCTTTGCTGTCACGATCCGATTTGGCCTCACGTGTTTGATCCTTCTCGGGTAAAAGTCAATAACTTGGGGTGCAAGTTGCATAGCTCGAGACCTCAGCCGACGACTTAATAGGCGTTGATTGTTTCAAAAAAAGTCTTTTGAAATCTTTACACAAATTAGGGTGAGTAGCAAAAATTTTCTCGATATCATCACAAATCTGTCTTTGATCTACATGTCCCTTCTAAAAGGATTTCAAAGACTGTAGAAACTTTTTGCACATATTTTCATTGCCGTTTGGAGAACAAAGCTTGATTTTATTAAGAAAACCCCTCACGTTCTAGAGATTTTCTATCTGTATCTTCTTTTATAGTAATATTACTCTTAACCAAGTGTCTAAAAAAATTAAAGGCAAAAACAAAAAGATGTCATTAAAAAATTCTAAACCAAGTGAATTTATATTAGTCAATTATTACAAGTTTGAAGTGTGTTGGGATACTAATTCCTCAATATTATTACGACTCTCGTACTAAGTCGAGATACCAGGATCATGATGTTATCTAAATGCTTTTTTGATTAGCAAAAATAAAATAAAATAATTTAAAAAGAAAATTACAGAATTTTATATGCCTTTCTCTCAGAATCCCATGCCGACTCGGCTCAGTTTAATTCAACTCAACTCGTCTGGTCTTCGCTCACCCATGGCTGCTGAGTGTCCCTCCTCTCCTCCCTCGCCCTCCCCTTCCTCTCCGATGACAATCGACGGCTCCGACCGCGACGCTGCCCTCGCGAAGTCCGCCTGGCTCAGCCGCCGCGAGGTCCTCGAACGCCGTTGTCGCCTAGCCAAGCAGCTCGCTCGCGTCTACCGGCACCACTACTGGGTTCTCATGGAGGATCTCAAGGCCAAGCACAGAGACTACTACTGGACCTTCGGCAAGAGCCCCTTCAAAGACGACGAGACCGCCGCCGCCGCCGCGGCCATTGCCGAGAACGGAAAGCTAGGGTTAGGGTTAGGGAATTCCGGTGGAGGAGACGATATCAAGAGGTGCCAAGTGACCGGGTGCAAGACGAAAGCAATGGCGTTGACGAAGTTCTGTCACGCTCATATTCTCAACGATCCTCAGCAGAAGCTCTACAGGGGTTGCCAATACGTCATCAAGAGGTACTTTTGTTCTTCCTTTTTTATTATTGTTGTTTTTTCCTTTTAATAATCGATTATTTTCTGTTGGTTGCTTGATATTCTTTTGATGTGATGGCTGTTTGGTTGCTGAGAAAGTAGTATTGATTTTGGTTTCTATTTTGTTGGAGGTAATAGGAAGATATATCTTGTTGTTTTCGTTCTTTGAACTGTGAGTTGTGATTTTAGTCGTGAATTGTTGAACAAAATTGCTTGTATAGAGAGTTTTCTTTTCTTTTCTTTTCTTTGGTTTTATTAATGCAAGTTAACAGAGGTTATGAAGTTAGAAAGTTGTGGGTAGTGTTGGGGTAAGACTTGAAATTATATTAAAAAGAAATTAGTTTGATTCCTGTTATATTTGAGAGAAAACGAGATTGGATTACTTTTCGAAGAGATTAGGCTTGAGGGGTTATGTTTACTACGCAATTAGATTAGGTGATCCGTGTTGTGCTAGATATATGGACGGATTTGATATTAGCATAAGACCTTAAGAAGTTCTAATTTCTACTTAATCGTATGTGGATTGGAGTCCCTGATAATGCATGTAGTAGTACTTCCACACAACAGATAGAATGTATACAATGAGCAGAATTTCTGGTTTTATATTTGTGATCAGTGAGTTCTTATGTTAATTCTTAGAAGCTTGCACGAGCATGCAGGTTCCTAAGGGCTAAGGGTAATAAAACGTATCCAATTTTGAGGCTTGTAGCTTTGGAGAAAAAAAGAAATGAGCACTGTATTACCGCATGACTATTGATTCTAAGTTCCTGAAAGGTAATCAATTTCCCACAAAGATCGTAAAGCATAAGAATTAGGATTCTCTTCAAAGTTAGGAAATTCAACTTAGCTGAAGCAGGTGGACAAAGCTCTAACTTATTTGGGCCTTTCCTAAATAAGGTTTCCAAAATCTACTTGGTTGTTTTTAAAATCAGCCTGGGCCCTTTAACTTGAGATATGGAAGAATGTCCCCCTAGTGGAGGAGCATAAACATTCATGTCCTCTCAGATAATATAAGAATTTTGCACCCATCTTCTCACTTTCTCCCTTTATGTATTCAGTAGGTCAAAATAAGAGAGACACAAAACCAAGGTTTTAAATTGCGCAGTCCGGTATTGAGGTATTTTCCCTTTGTGAAGCGAGGCGTAAGTCTCAAATTCAAATTGAATTAATTTAAAAAAAATGAAAAATCAAATAATTTAAAAACGAAGGTTATAAATCATAACTTAACATATGTTAGCTAGTGATGGTTAGTAACTAACAAAAAAAAAGTCATAAACCATAACTTTTGGTATATTAATTTTGTAATACATATTTAGATACATAGGATTTCCAAAAGTAAAAAAGTTGCCACTGGACATTGAGTGGCTTCATGTGTGATCATTAGTAACGTTATGTCCACTTCAAACTTCTCTCAAGTTTTCTTCTTGTTTTGTGAGAAAATTACGACATTAACCGTTTTTTTTTTTCCAATCATATTGTTAAGGCCATTAGACAAAATTTGATACCACTATTTTTTTCCCTTTTTTCTTCACTTTTTGCGTTCTTACTCTCTCTCTCCCTCCCTCCCCCCTCCCTCTCCCTGTCTCTTTCAAATTGATACCACTCTATTTTTTTCCTTTTTTTCTCACTTTGTGCATTCTTATTCTCTCTCTCCCTCCCTCCCTCCCTCTCCCCTTCTCCCTCCCTCCCTCTCCTTCCATAAACGGATTGTGTTGCTCTCTCCCATCAAGCCGCGACGATGACTTCGCCCAGCGACAGTGACAGCGAGATTCCACACTGACATTGCAGCATTTGCGATCAGAGTTCAGTGATCAAAGATTTATCGTGATCGGAGGTCCTCGATTCTTCAGCTGCCTGTGACGGTTTTGGATGCTATGGGCCCAGATCAACTCGCCATTGACCTTTGAAGCATTTGGTGCTGACGGTGCAAACCACCACCCATCGAAAAGCGAAATCCGACAATGGCTTAAAGGGATTTTGGCAATACTGTGGTGCTCTGGCGAGATTCGTCTTGTCACTCTGAGTATGAAATAACTTCTGAAATGAAGGAGATATCACGATCTGAAGTTTTGAGTGTTTTGGAACTTCGGTTGAGAAGTGTGACCTCCTTCAGCGAAACTGGCAGTTGCAAGGCACGGTTCCAGATTTAGCTTGTAAATAGTTTTTCAATGAGCCACAAGGTGTCGAAAATGAAAGTTGAAAGCTCGTTAGAGGTTGTTGGCCATGCATAGAGAAGAGAAGAGAAATGAGGGATAGAGAGAATTCGAAAGAAAAAATGTACATTCTATAGCAAACAAAAGATAATCTATAGGATATGCAAATATAGCCCATAGGATATGAAAAATAACTCGCAGGATATTAGTGGTATAAGATAAGTTTATAAACAGTGGCAGAGTAAAATAGTGTTACCTTTTTTATGGCATATTTGAAAATGTTCCTTTCTTTTGTGGTCGATAATGAGTTCAGGATTGGCACTATTTGTTTATTTCAGCCAAAAATTACATAGTATTAGAAACAAGAGAAAATTGTTGAACCTACCCTTAGAGTGCATGAGTATGGATTTCCCTTACTCTTGATTAATACCCTTTTGACTAATATAATTATTTGACTAAAAATGATATTAACTAAGAGTAAGGGGCGAAAATTTAGACTCATGCTCTTTAAGGGATATTTGTCTCCTTTTTCCTAGAAACAATTAGGCCATCGCCTACAAAATTACGCCCTTCAAGGCCGCCTAGAGGCGTACACCTTTTCTTACTTTGTGAAGCTTAAGCCTTAATTCCTTTTTCGAGTTGTGCACTTTTGAACACTGCACAAAACTAAAGAGGCGGGAGCCACATTTCCTAAACACCTCATTGAGAAATGAAAACACATCTTTGACCTTCATAGCGATGATATTAATAATACACACAAACACACACACACACACACACATTGCTTTCATTCGAGGCTTACACATCTCATCTTGGCTCGATTCCGAAAATAGCATTTTTAAACGTTGATTATATCCTAGATGCTTGCAGTCATAATGGCAGACTGGAAGTGGGCATTTCAATAATTCAGTGCTGTTCAGAAAAATCTTTCCATGTGTCAGTAGATTGGTCTTTAATATGTCTGGTGATTTAGCATCTCCTCAGATTTGTTGTACCTAATCAAGGTCACTTCATCTAGTACTTAGGTATATCTTTACTGTTTTCCTGGAATAATGGAAATACTATAAACGTTGAATATTGTAGATATTATGCATATCTTAATGTTTATAGTATAACTTCACATTTCTCTTTCCCATCCCTTTTTTTCTCATGTTTTCCTTGCCGTAAAAATGGGTTGAATCTGTTTGATCTTCTTCTTAACTTGTAATTGTCGACCCCAATGCCTCTGTTTGAATATTTGACCACATAACACGGGAGAGACTCGTCTTCTTCTTTGTTAACTTGTAATTGGCGACCCCAATGCTTCTGTTTGAATATTTGACCACATAACACGGGAGATACACATAATAAGATAAGTGGATAGTCCTTTTATGTAAGTTTCAATTTTATTTAACAAGAAACACAGATTTTGCAGAATGGATCTACACCACATCTTAGTAATCTTAGTAGGCATCAAGTAATATGGTCAAAATAAAGAAATCATGCATAACAAGTTGTCATGCCCAGACAACAACAACAACAACAACAACAACAACAACAACAACAACAAGAAGTCTTAATCCCATCTTAATTGGGGTCGGTTATATGGATTTCACTTTTCCACACAACTATGTTCGAAATTAAACTTTCTTGAAGGCCTAGATTTAAAATGTCTTTCCTAACGACTTCGGTCTACGTAATTCTTGGTCTACCCCTCCCTCTCCTAGTATTTGGTATAAGAATGTCCTCCCAAGCACGAACTGGTGCTTCTAGCAGTCTACGTTGAACATGCCCGTACCACCTCAAGCGGTCTGCGCGCACCTTATCTTCTATTGGTGCTACACCTACTTTACTACGAATAACTTCATTCCTTATGCGATCCATTCTCGTATGGCCACTCATCCATCTTAACATACGCATTTCTGCCACACTCATCTTAGATATATGTTGTCTCGTAATGGCCCAACATTCACTTCCATATAACATAGCTAGGCGGATTACAATCCTATAGAACTTTCTTTTCAATTTAATAGGCATTTTGCCATCACATAAAACTCCGGTATCATTCTTCCACTTAACCCACCTGCCTTAATCCTATGTTGAATAATCTCTTCTATATCTCCTTCGTACTACACTATAGACCCAAGGTACCTAAATTTTCTAGAAGCCCCAATCTCCACACCATCTAAAGAAATTCCATCACTCTGATTACTTGAGTTACTAAACCTACAATGCATCTATTCAGTTTTCGTCCTACTTACCTTAAATCCCTTCATCTCGAGAGTCTGTCTCCACAGTTCTAACTTACGGTTAACTCCTTCCCTATGTTCACAACTAAAACCATATCATCCGCAAAAAACATACACCAAGGAACTCTATCTTGGATTTCTCAGAGCAGATCCTTGATGAAGGCCGATCCGAATGGGGAACTCTGTCGTGTAGCCTCTAGCAATTCTCACACTCGTGACCACCCCATCGTACATGTCCTTAATTACCTTAATATACTGGTAAGTCTCTAGCAACTATTTCACAAGAATCCATAAAACTTCCATCGCTACCCTATCATATTTTACTTAGAAAACGTTAATTTACAAGACTACTACTAATTACATTATATACAAAGTAGAAACAATAGGAGAGAATAAACAGCTTAACTAATCTCCTAAAAAATAGGCTACCTTTATGCTAACAACTAGCCTAACACGCTAGGTCTCCTAAAACTTCTAACCACCTTTCTAACACTCTCCCTCAAGCTGGAGAGTACAAGTTGAACATTCCCAGTTTGTCTATCAATTTTTCAAAGACAGGTTTATAAACACCCTTTGTTAGAATATCTGCAGTTTGTTCTGAAGT